TGTCAACACTAGCCTGTTCCTATGGGAAATGCTCAAATGGGACTTAAACATGGAAATGAAAGGTCAACATTCAGCATTATGAAAACACACAGAAAAATAAAACTCACATTTCTTATAAAAACAGCCTCATAAATGAGGAAAAGAATCAAATGCCAACATGACAGAATCTCAGCAAACCACAATGACAAAAAGAGAAAAAGAAAGAACTTATCGTATAAAACAACTTAAAACAATTAACAATATGACAAGAATAAAGCCTAGCATATCAATATTAATCTTGAATAAATGGATTAAATGCTCCACTTACAAGATATGTATTGGCAGAATAAACAGCATGATGCCCAGCACCTTGGGAGGCTGAGGCGAGTGGATCATCTGAGGTTGGGAGCTTGAGAACAGCCTGACCAACATGGAGAAACCTTATCTCTACTAAAAATACAAAAATTAGCTGGGTGTGATGGCATATGCTTGTAGTCCCAGGTACTGGGGAGGCTGAGGCAGGAGAATCACTTGAACCTGGGAGGCAGAGGTTGCAGTGAATCGAGATCATGCCATTGCACTCCAGCCTGGGCGACAAGAGTGAAACTCTCAAAACAAACACACACACACACACACACACACACACACACGATGCAACTATATGCTGCCTATAAGAAATCAACTTTACCTGTAAAGACACATATAGACTGAAAGTACATAGATCGAAAAAGATATTCCATGCAAAGAAAAACCAAACAAGCAGGAATAGCTATATCTTATACCAGTTAAAACAGATTTTAAATCAAAAACATTAAAAATAAATACAAAACAAAGAAGGTCATTATATAGTGATAAAGGGATCAATTTAGCAAAAGAATATAACAATGCTGAATATATATGCACCCAACATCACAGCCCCTAAATTTACAAACAAACATAACTAGACCTAAAGAATGAGACAGACAGAATACAATAATAGTGGGGAACTTCAACATCCCACTCATACACTAGACAGATCATTGAGAGACAAAATTAGCAAAGAATCATTAGAGTTTCATATGCTTTGGATGTGTGTCCCCTCCATATCTAATGCTGACATGTGATCTCCAATGTTGGAGGTAGGGCCTAGGGGGAGGTATCAGATCACAGGGGTAGATCCCTCATGAATGGCTCAGTGCCGTCCCCTTCGTGATGAGTGAGTTCTCACTCAGTTTAAATGATATCAGGTTGTTTAAAAGAGTCTGGGACCACCCCCTTCCATCTCTTGCCAATGTGATACACTGGCTCCTCCACTGCCTTCCACCATGATTGTAAGCTTCCTGTGACCCTTATCAGCAGCAGATGCCAGTGCCATGCTTCGTGTTCTGCCTGCAGAACTGTGAGCTGACTAAACCACTTTTCTTTATAAATTACCCAGCCTTGGGTGTTCCTTTAGAGTGATGCAAAAATAGACAAACACAGACTTAAATCGGACTTTAACACAAAGGACTCAACAGACACTTATAAAACATTTTACCCAACAACTACAGAATATACATTCTTTTCATCAGCACATGGTATATTCTCCAAGATAGGCCATCTATTAATCCACGAAACATGTCTTAACAAATTTTTAAAAAATCAAAATTATGTTAAGTATCATCTCAGACCACAGTGGATAAAGCTAGAAAAGGATTCCATTCCATCAATACTAGGAGGAACTTTGAAATGGTATAAATACATGGGCACTAAACAGCATGCTCCTGAAAGATCACCAGGTCAACAATGAAATTAAGGTGGAAATTAGAAAAAAATTTGAAATGAATAAAAATGAAAACACAACATACAAAAGCCTGTGGGATACAGCAAAAGCAGTACTAATAGAGAAGTTTATAGCACTGTGCCTACGTCAAAAAAGTAGAAAGGGCCAGGCATGGTGGCTCACAGCTGTAATCCCAGCACTTTGGGAGGCTGAGGCGGGTGGATCACTTGAGGTCAGGAGTTTGAGGCCGGCCTGGCCAGTATGAAGAAACACTGTCTCTACTGAAAAATACAAAAATTAGCAAGGCTTGTTGGTGCATGCCTGTAATCTCAGCTACTCGGGAGGCTGAGGTGGGAGAATGACTTGAACCTGGGAGGCAGAGGTTGCAGTGAGCTGAGATCGTGCCACTGTACTCCTGCCTGGGTGACAGAGTGAGACTCCATCTCAAAAAACAGTAGAAAGATCACAAATTAACAACCAATGTCACACCTCAAGGAATTAGAAAAAGAACAAACCCAAAGTTAGCCAAAGAAATAACAAAGATCAGAGCAGAACTAAATGAAATAGAAACCACAAAAACAATAAAAAAGATCAACAAAACAAATCTTGGTTCTTCAAAATGTTAAACAAAATTAATAAACCACTAGCTAGACTAACCCAGGAAAGAAGAGAAAATGAAAATAAAAACAATCAGAAATGAAGAATGGGACATTACAACTGACAGGATAGAAACACAAAACATCATGAGAGACTACTATGAACAGCTATACCCTCACAAACTAGAAAACCTAGAGGAAATGCATAAATTCCTGGACAGTTACAATCTATCAAGATTGAACCAGGAAGTGGAACTCTTGAACAGATCAATAATGAATAGCAAGACTGAATCAGTAATTAAGTCTCCCAAGAAGGCCGGGTATGGTGGCTCATGCCTGTAATCCCAGCACTTTGGGAGGCCGAGGAGGGCGGATCACTTGAGGTCAGGAGTTTGAGACCAGCCTAGTCAACACAGTGAAACTCCATCTCTACTAAAAATATAAAAATTAGCTGGGCGTGGTGGCGCACGCCTGTAATCCCAGCTACTTGGAAGGCTGAGGCAGCAGAATCGTTTGAACCCAGGAGGTGGAGGTTGCAGTGAATCGAGATCATGCTTCTGCACTCCAGCTTGGGTGACAGAGTGAAACTCTGTCTCAAAAAAAAGTCTTTCAACAAAATAAATTCCAGGACCAGATAGATTCACAGATGAATCCTGCCATGCATACAGAGAAGAACTAATAGCAATCCTGTGAAACTATTCCAAAAAATTGAGGAGGAGGAATTCTCCCTAACTGATTCTATGAGGCCAGTATCATCCTGATAACAAAATCTGGCAAGAACACAACAAAAAACAAAACTATAGATCAATATCCCTGAATCACATAGATACAAAAAGCCTCAGCAAAATACTAGCAAATCAAATCCAACAGCACATCAAAAAGATCACACACCACGATTGGGTCGGATTTAACCTGGGGATCCAAGGATGGTTTAACATATGCAAATCCATAATGTGATACATTCCATCAACAGAATGAAGGACAAAAGTCTCATGATCATCTCAATAGATGCAGAAAAAGTATTCAATAAAAATCAGCATTTCTTCATGATAAAAATCCTCAACAAACTAGGCATAGAGGCAACATACCTCAACATAATAAAGGTTACATATGACAAGCTCACAGCAAACATAACATTTAATGGTGAAAATTTGAAAACGTTCCCTCTAAGAACTATAACGAGACAAGAATGCCACTTTCACCACTCTTATTCAACACAGTACTGGAAGTCCTAGTCAGAGTAGTTAGGCTTCAGGCTGCGTCCACTCATAGTGGAAGGCAAAGCAGAGCCAGCGTGTGCGGTGATCACGGAGTGAGAGGGGAAGCAAGAGAGAGAGGGTGTGGCCAAATTCTTTTAAACAATCAGCTCTCATGGCAACTAATAGAGCAAGAACCCATTCATTACCATGAGGAGGACATCAGGCAACTCCTGGATCATGAACCAAACATTTCCCATTAGTTTCTATCTCCAACATTGGGGATCAAATTTCAGTGTGAGGTTTGTGGGGACAAACATCCAAACAAGAGCAGTTGGTGAATGGGAAATTCAGCCACTTCTCCGGGACGACTCTTACCAAGAGTCCCATAGTTCAGCAACTACAGAGGCCTCCAGGACCCTACTCCATCTTCAGACAATGTTTCTGCTGCCCTAGTTGTTAAATATGTTTATTGTCATCATCTGTAATATTTAATTCCATACATACATCCTCCTTACAAGGAATCTTGCAATATCTCACAACTGATGATTTATACTCCATGGGTATAAATGGGGTCAAATTATGCATTTTATACCTTTTGAGAAACTCTGAACTAATAATATTTCTGAGACCTCTTCAAGCTCTGCCGTGCTGTGTTTAGACTGGAACCCCAAGCTTGAGTTTAAGAGTGAGAGGAGATGCAGAAAAGAAGTTGGGGGTAGGTATAAGTACCAGAAAGACTTCCCCGTGGATATGGGAGAGTATGGCATTAAATTACATTGACACACGGAAACTGTGGGAAACAACCAATCGTTGTTGTCTTAAGCCTCGGTATTTTCTAGTTACCATAGAAAATAGGTAATTTTCCATTAAAGGGAGAAATACCAAGTTCCATCTTAATGAATTTAAGTTCTTAAAAAGGAGAATCAATTAAAGAAGCATTAAATTAATATATGGGGGTACTCAGACACAGCAAAAAAAAAAAAAAAAAAAAAGAAGGCAAACGTCCAATGCTGGACAAGCACTTACCTTGGTTCAATGATTTTTCAATCATTTTTTCATAGAAGCCTAATTTCCTAAGATATAAGTTAACTGCTATAATGAAGACCTGAAACAGCAGTTTAAAGGGGCTTACACCAGATGGAAATTTAATTTTCTTTCTTTCTTTTTTTTTTTTTCTTCTTTTTGGAGATGGAGCCTCATTCTGTTACTCAGGCTGGAATGCACTGGCATCCTCTCAGCTCAATGCAACCTCGGCCTCCTGGGTTCATGCGATTCCCCTGCCTCAGCCTCCTGAGTAGCTGAGATTACAGGTGTGTGCCACCACGCCGGCCTAATTTTTGCAGTTTTAGTAGAGACGGGCTTTCACCATGTTGGCCAGGCTGTTCTCGAACTCCTGACCTCAAGTGATTCACCTGCCTTGACCTCCCAAAGTGCTGCGATTACAGGTGTGAGCCACCGCGCCTGGTGGAAATTAAATTTTCTTACACTTAATGGCTCTGCATAAGCAACCGAGAGCTCATCAGGTAGTTCACTGATATCAAAGGCCCAGGCTCCTTCCATGTTGCTGCTGCTCCTTCCTAAGTTGTTGCTCTTGCTATCCCCATATTTCCATCCCAGTTAGCCAGAAAGAGGAAATATTCCGGAAGAAAATCTTGCCCCTCCCTCTAAAAGCGCAAACTGAAAGTTGCATACGCCACTTCCACTCACTTCTCATTGGTCAGAACTTGGCTACATGGCCATACACAGCTGCAAGGGAGCTTGGGAAATGTAGTTTTTAAACTCTAGATAATCATGTCGCTGGAGAGAATTCCATTACTGTGGAAGACGGTGAAACAAATATTGGGAGACAGCTAGGGGCCTCTGAAATATGAACCTTTTCTCAAATACGGTCATATATGAATTTAATGTAGCAAACCAGATGACAATGAGAGCTATACTCCCAAGCACTGGAAACATCTGAATACCTTTTCCCCAGTATGAAAGGTATTACACGGAGTTTAAAAAAAAAAAAAAAGTTTATCCAACAACTTCAGGTTATAAGAATATTTGTTTTAGGGTGACCTGAATCATCTCTGACTATTTAACATGCCCCTCCTGGTAAGCTGGTTGTTTGGATTGGAGGATACCCTGCTTGTCAAGCACACAGCTCCATGCCTGGCACAAAGTGACAACAAATTTAAAAAATTTGGTTGGGCGCAGTGGCTCATGCCTGTAATCCCAGCACTTTGGGAAGCCAGGCAGGTGGATCACTTGAGGCCAGGAGTTCAAGACCAGCCTGGCAAATCTGGCAAAACCCCGTCTCTACTTAAAACACAAAAATTAGCCAGGCATGGTGGCGGGTGCCTGTAATCCCAGCTACTCCGGAGGCTGAGGCAGGAGAATCGCTTGAACCCGGCAGGCGGAGGTTGCAGTGAGCCAAGATCACACCATTGCACTCCAGCCTGGGCAACAGAGAAAGACTCCATCTCAAAAAAAAAAAAAAAAAATTCTGGCAGCATCACATTTCTTAGTCCCAGAAACAGGGGCATGTGACTAGGCATAAAATGACCCAGGTTCCGTTTCACACACAGCCTGTGAAGCACAAATCTCCTTCTCTCTATCCCACTTAGACCTCGGTTTGTCTCTTGTCTCTGTATCTCTTTGTTTCTTTGCCTTTCTCTTTGTTCATCTCCATCTCCAACTTTTTGTCTAGTTGGATTTCTCTCTGAGTCACTGGTGCTTTGTTGGTTGGTTTGTTTTTTAGAAATGAGGGAGAAAGTGCGTTCACACTTTGGGTTCCTCTTGATTCTCTTCTCAGCCGTATGTCACTTTCTCAGTCTCTGTCTCACTGAAACTTTTTTTCCTGTCTTTTATTCTTTCTGCTTCTATCTCCCTCTCTCTGCTTCTTTGAATTGTCTTCTGTCTCTGTGTCCTCCTTGACATTTATCTTTGACTCATCGAATCTCTCTCTCTCTCATCTTTATTTTGTTTTGTTTTGTTTTTGAGACAGAGTCTCACTCTTGTTGCCTAGGCTAGAGTGCAGTGGCGTGATCTCGGCTCACTGCAACCTCTGCCTCCCGGGTTCAAGTGATTCTCCTGCCTCAGTCTCCTGGGTAGCTGGGATTACAGGTGCCCGCCCCCACACCTGACTAGTCTTTTTATGTATGCATATATTTTTAGTAGAGACGGGGTTTCACCATGTTGGCCAGGCTGGTCTCTAACTCCTGACCTCAGGTGATCCACCTGCTTCAACCTCCCAAAGTGCTGGGATTACAGGTGTGAGTCACCGTGCCCAGCCTCATCTCACTCTGGTTTTGATCTCGCTCTGGTTCTGTTTCAATGCACCTCCATTTTCTCTCAATCTTGATCTCTGTCTCAGCCACACATAATCTGCCATGCTCTGAATTTCTCTGCCTCAAGTCCTCTGCAATTATTTTTCCTCTTCAGCTTGCTTCTACTTTTTAGTTCAAGTTCCTCCATTCCTGGCTTCCTATCTGGAGGTGGGATGTTGAGGGGAGCTGTTCTTTTTTTTTTTTTTTTTTTTTTTGAGATGGAGTCTCGCTCTGTCGCCCAGGCTGGAGTGCAGTGGCGCGATCTCGGCTCACTGCAAGCTCTGCCTCCCGGGTTCACGCCATTCTCCTGCCTCAGCCTCCCGAATAGCTGGGAGTACAGGCGCCCGCCACCTCGCCCAGCTAGTTTTTTGTATTTTTTAGTAGAGACGGGGTTTCACCGTGTTAGCCAGGATGGTCTCGATCTCCTGATCTCATGATCCGCCCATCTCAGCCTCCCAAAGTGCTGGGATTACAGGCTTGAGCCACCGCGCCCGGCCTAGGGGAGCTGTTCTAAGAGCACTTGCTCTCTCCCTTCCTGTCTGAATCGGAAAACCAGACTCACAATCAACCACCTTCACCACACACACACCACCACCACAAGATGGTTAAGAGATTAGTCCTGAATGGGTGTTAAGTGTTGGGGGGTGAGGATCAGAATGGGATGGGGAGGCAAAAGCTAAGAGAGTCAAAGGAGTTGGGCTGAGCTGAGTCTCTACTCCAAGAAGGACATTCTAGCAGCAGATCCAAGAGACAAAAATTGATACTGTGTGTGAGTCACTCAGTTTTCCCAGAATTTCCACCACTTCTGGACACAGGATGCCTCAGCTCAGCCAGCCAAACCCCATTCCCCAAACCTACAGATACCTTGAGGGATTCAGTTTCCAAGTCTGAGAATACAGTCGCATGAAAAGGACATTGAATTCTGTTAAATAGTATATGTGGGTAGGATATAATATCCAGGAAGTTCATTTCAGGACAATAAGGCTTTGAAAATATTTGGTGCAGAAAAGGTAGTGAATCACTTTTTAGATTATAAGAAACGCAATCACTAATTGTGCTGGAGGAGACGTTCCCCTCCAGAGCCTGCGGTTCAGGGGTGATCCCTACACCTTAGACTTTCCAAATACACACACACACACACACACACACACACACACACCCCGACACACACTACAGCAAAGTTCTTTTTTATTTCTTTTTTTAAATTTGATACAGCAAAGTTCTGATACACCAACACAGGTAATCTTCGGTTATTGTTATTTAACATTATCTTGAGTAGAAAACAAGAACTTTTTGAACAAAACCCTTTCAATTGATTTATTTCTCTTGTTTTCTAAATCTTCAGCTTACTTGCCTTATTGACATTCTAGTGTTCCATTACACAGTAGGGTGGCTGTAGTTAACGATAATACATTGCATATTTCAAAACAGTTAGAAGAGAGGATTTTTAATGTTCTTACCACAAAGAAATGACAAATGTCTCAGTAATGGATATAATAATTACCCAAATTTGATTGTTGTACATTGCATACATATATCAAAACATCACACTATACCCCACAAATATGTACAATTATTGTATCAATTAAAAAAATTAATAACTGATTAATTAGGGTTACCTTAATTAAATAATGAACAAAGAGTTTTCCTTGTTGTCTATCAAGACTTTCTAAAACAACATGGCCTGCCAGCTGCGGTGGCTCACACCTGTAGTTCCAGCACTTTGGGAAGCTGAGGGGCGTGGATCACTTGAGGCCAGGAGTTCGAGACCAACCTGGCCAACATGGTGAAACCGCATCTCTAGAAAAATACAAAATTAGCTGGGCATGGTGGTATGCGCCTGTAGTCCTAGCTACTTGGGAGGCTGAGGCATGAGAATCGCCTGCACGGGAGGCAGAAGTTGTAGTGAAATGAGATCATGCCACTACACTCCAGCCTGGGTGACAGAGTGAGAATCTGTCTCAAATAAAACAAAATAAAATAAAATAATACAAATAAAATAACATGGTTTCCCTATTTGATAGATGGTGAAACAAGTCCCAGAGGTTAAGTGACTTGCCCAGTGAAGAAAAGACAGAGCTGCCACTTGTACCCAGATTGTTTGGATCCTAAAACCAAAAGCCTAAAAAGAGAATAATCTGCGTCTTACCCCCAACCAAGAAATTCTGTCAATTCTATTGAGCTGAGAGAGAAGAACAGGCAGACTGGAAATATGAAGAAAGGGGAATGGCCCCAGAGGATTTCCCTGTGTGAATTCAATTTACCCTTATTCAGATGGGAGATTATAGGTTATATAACCACCCCCCATATAAGGCAATCTCTTCTCCGATGACATTCAAACCTGGAAAACTTGAATCCCAGGGTGTTCAGATTTTGGTATAAGCTGATCTCTCAGGACCTATTTAGGCAGGATCTGGTGCCCAGGACAGAACCTGTTGACCTGGCACCATGGAGCTGGGAGGGGCTGTCACCATCTTTCTGGCACTCTGCTTGTCTTGCCTGCTCGTCCTCATTGCCTGGAAACGAATGAATAAGGCAGGAAAGCTGCCCCCAGGTCCTACACCAATTCCTTTCCTGGGGAACCTGCTGCAAGTTCGAACTGACGCTACGTTTCAGTCTTTCATGAAGGTGAGTGTGTCTGTCTCCTTTAACAGGGCTTAGAGCAACTAATCCTGTAGCCAGATTCACATAGAACCTTATGCCTAAAGATAGACTAAAGATAGACTAAAGATAGACTCTCAGAAGCACAGACTTTGCAAATCTTAGAATTCTGAAATTCCAGAATCCTGAAATGTTGGAAACACACATTCTCAGTGCATTGAAATAAGACTTTCATGATCTCAGGACTTTGAAATCACAGTACATTATATTTTTAAACACAAGGACACTTTGACTCAGGTTGTCTTAGCTCTTTGAGACTTGCTTTCATGAAGTCTTCAGATTTTAGAAATTTAACATTTCAGAGAGAGAAGTATGAATCTTGGAATTTATCGAATCCAGGTCCATTATTTTATAGATGAGAACAGTAAGTCTTGTGGGGAGGGATGAGCTTTTGCCTAGGATGACAGAAGCCAAGACTTCCGTGCCTGTTTCCCAATAGTCCTTCCAAGCCCAGATTTACCCTGATTCCTTAGTACTATGTTTATATCCCCCTGAAATCGCCATCTAAAATCCTCGATTGGCCTATACTTGGTACTCCAATCAGTTCCTCCTCTTATGTTTTCCTTCACTCCAAGCTCAGGGAGAAATACGGCCCTGTGTTCACTGTGTACATGGGTCCCCGGCCAGTGGTGGTTTTATGTGGACATGAAGCAGTGAAGGAAGCCTTGGTAGACCAAGCGGATGAGTTCAGTGGCCGTGGAGAACTGGCTTCAATAGAGCGAAACTTCCAAGGTCATGGTAGGTAGCAACGGCAACAAAAACAATAAAACCAGAAATGACTGCAATGTACTCCCTCTATGCCAGGTTCTTTGGTAAGTAAGTAGTCTACATGACTTACTGCATTGACTCCCTTAGGAGAGCTGTAACATTATACTAATGTTGTCAATGAGAAGGCTAAGATAGGCAGGGCGTGGTGGCTCATGCCTGTAATCCCAGCACTTTGGGAGG